GTCTCTGGAAGGCAAGGGAAAAAGAACGAGTTCCCTCTACTCCCTCATGGACTGATGCCGAAGGTAGACCCATGGCCGCTTTTGCAGCCGGTGAGTTCAAAGACCATCTCTGTTTTGTATAGCTTAGACATAAACTTATATTTATTCAAGCCCCTGCAAGAATTTGGCCTACCTTTTGGACCTCCCATTGCTGGTGATGTATCACCGTGGACGTCTGATCCCTGGGCAGGAGAACTTTACAACCACTACCAAACACCAAGTAAGCTTTTTTTTTCATTCAAACATCCCTCTGATTGTTGCAAAGCGTTTACTATGATGATTCAGTTTCTTATCAACCACCAATACAGCCGATACCTCGTCCATCTTACCATGATTTGGCTGTGTCAGAATGCCAACATTGGAATCCCAACGGTTAGCCAAAGTTTAATGCCGAAAACCTAAAAATTTCATGTTTATTAGCTAATTGCTGGGTTTTAAGTGCAGTAAAAGTGTATCAAAAAGAGAATCCTTCTTTGGAGCGTCACCCAATGGATGCAAAGAAGGTTGAAGTACCTTCAAATGGTTATTTGAGTGCAATGTCATTAGCACGAATTATGTGTACAGCGTATTTACAAGTATAAATTCTACTGAATCAAACAAGAAACCTTCAAAATTTGCTACTGAAGCACATTTTTAAGAATGCACTAGATTATAGTGCAAAATTGTTAAAAGTTTACTTGTAAGGGATTTTTCAGAAGCCTCTAAAAACTTCTCATTTGCAAACATCGATGCAATTCTACTTGAAGGATTCACTGCGCAATCGTAATTGGCAGGCATCTGTTCGCAAGACAAATTCTTCGTACCTTTAGCATGAGATTGAACAAAATGCGCAGTATTTCCAGTATATTCTATAGATTTCAAAATATCGCCGTATCCTCATTTTCCTTAAGAGAATAGAGCACATTTGATAGGTCTGCTATGACTACTTGGCTTCAGGGAAGTGAGCTTAAAGACCAGAACTTTGGCTGATACTCAAAAAATGAAGAAATGTCTTTCACAAAGGGGCTCATAGTTTTTCTGGAGATGTTAATTTTTGAGGAGAATTGAGAGGTCACGATCGATGGAGATCTCTGTAAGGGTAATACGGTTAGTCGCTGAATTGACTACGTTGTGGAAAAAGGTGAACTAGACCTTAAATGATCTTAAATACGGTTCAAATAATCTCACTATGTGCCAAATCACAAGAGAATTTCTAGTGATTATGATTTTAGGGCTATAACAGCAGCCGCCTCGCTATTTCGTCTTTTGAGGGTATCTTACATATTTTTGATACATCGATACAGTGTTGGGAACATATGCAAGCGATGTTCATGTATCCTCTGGGGATTATAAACAGTAGGAGTAACATAGGGGAAATGGCTCCCAAAATCGGTGTTCGACTGGTCAAGGGAGTATACGAGAGAAATTTCGAGCCCGGATTCCACACCTTTTCTGGACCATTTCGGTGCGTTAAACATAAATAACACATTAAAATACCAAGAAATTGTGTCAAGAAACTAAAGATTCCGGGCCCTCTTTCACCGACGAGGACGAGTAACACTGTCTCGTTTTCAAAACTTTGACCCTCATTGTCAGTCCCGAAAAGATCGCTTGCCTTTCACGCTTGTGGCAATACATTCGAGAGAATTAAGACATGGGCGATCATAAAGGGAAGTCGCCGAGTGGGCGAGTTGACCTGAACGTCTGAGCGATTTTCTTGTTTGCCACAAGTTATACGACTGAGGGGATATCTGATCAGAGAGTCAATCTTATCTGTCAAGTACTCAAATCCTTAGATTCCCCAGGCACTGTCTTTAAGACCGAGAAAAAGCAAATTTCCTCTTCATTGATAAGATGGAAGAAATGAAAGACATTTTCAAAATGCTTCCTATTATCAATCAAAGATTCCCTTGCATTCACTGATTTAAACTATGTATTACAGCCTATCTTCCCAGCGTAGGAAACAATACCCAGCTAACTAATACG